AAAGTACATCTCCATTTACACATCAAGTAGTTGATTATTTTCACCTTCATTGTTCTATTTCTGTGCTCACTGTTGTTTCTTGCATTCTATCCCTAATCAGACTCATCTTTCTTTCTCAATGGAATATTCTGTAAAAGTTCCTTTAGTGATCAACCACTTTAAGTGAGAGATTATATACTTGTGTGAATGATTGTTCATCTGGGCACAGGATTCCAAATTGACAGTTTTTCTCCTTAACACAAAGAAAATTCTGTTGTCTTCTTGAATTTATCGTGATCTCTCAAAGCAGCAACTGACTTTTCTACCTACACTTTTAAATTTTTTTCTCTTTCCTCTTGTTACTCAGTTTCACTTGGATGTGTCTCAGTATGGATTAATTTTTTCCTTGGTGACACATAGGATTGATTTCATTCTTCACTTGGATGAAGCACATAAAATGACACAGTTTTTCTCCTGGGGTGAGGGATCATTTTTGGGAAAGGAAATTCCAGCACTGGCCCTTGAGGTCTCTATTTTCCAGAGTAAATCTTCCAACTGTCTGGCTCAATCACTAAGTAAGCACACGTGAGGCACACCACGCCCTCTGGCCCTCTGCAGAGATTCAGGGCTAGGTCGGAGCAAGGTATTTTGTTAATCCTTTTAGCTTGAGCAAGCAGTAGAAGGAAAACTCAGGAAATAAATCATATAAAAATATGAGAACAATAGGGAAGGCTAGCTCGTCTTACAGGTTTGCTTCCTGTTCTAATACTTATGGAATGTGGAGTTTTCTCCTCTGCTGATGCTTAATATAACTAGAATGTCCCAAGTTGTAATTCTTTTCTTAACCAAAATTCCCCTTTTTCTATGTATATGATCATCTTAAAACTAATATCTCTCAGAATTGCTATAATGAAAGGCAAAGGAAGAGTTTAGTTGTGTAACATTTTAAAAAAGAAATTCCTGTTATATATGCAGACTTTCCATTGAAAATTACAGAAACCAGTAAAACTCTATTTGCTTTTAAGTAGTTGTACTTTTCTAAGTTAAGCTGCCTCTCACAAAATTTAGTCATGTTTGGGAGTAATGCTAAGTTTGTTTTTTTAAACAAGCAGATATTCTAGTGAAAAACTACTGTAATACTCTTAAATTTGCATCAGCTTTCAGTTTCTGGGTTAGATATTCTTTCACCAAATTATTAGAACTTCTTGTATTAAAAGTCTTCTAGCTTTAGAAACTGCCCTTTAACACCTCTACCAGAGTAAGGAAGAAAAGAGTTTTCTGCTTTTTAATAAATCCGGTAATGGTAGGTAGAAAGAAAATAATGGACTGAAAGGATGCTTTAATGTTCTGTGAATTTCTGTTGTTTCTACTGACCACTGTGTCTACAAAGCAAACTAATACATTGAAAGTCACTACATTTTGATTACTAAGCTTCATTTCCTTCCCACTAGAAAACAGTTTTCTAGGGGTACAATTTACACTACTCGGGGTCATGCTAAATATTAGGTGGGTATTCATGGCCAAGTCCAGAAAAATAGCCCCGATTAAGAAAGAGTATCTTTCTCTATCTGCCTGAAGCCACCAGCCTGGTTGCTTCCTGGGCCTCCAGTGCTCTCATCAGTCATTTCCTCTCCTGGGAACCTGCCTAACCCATCTCTCCCCTCCACTGCCTGATCTCAAATGGCAGCCTCTGGGCAAAGCAGATGCCCAGGATGTGTATCCATGACACTGGTCCGAAGCTTAGTGTGGTCCACCTAGAAAAGGCTGGTAGGGTCCCAAGTTAGAGGATTTAGTAGTCAGAGGTGACTAAATGTAGTCACCATGAATCATCTTGCCCAGCCACCAAATTTTACACCTGCAATTTGTATTTTAACCTAGTACAAAAGAACTTTTTCACAAATAGATTGCTAAAGTTTAGGGTTGTATCTGCTTTTCTTTTTATCTAATAATAGATCTAGTGATTTCCTTCCATTAGGAGTACAAGTGTTACCTTTGGGTAGCTCACAAGTAGGTTCAGTAATGCTTATAACAGACAGTCCAGTGAAATCTGTGTTACAGGGTAGAATGCTTGAAAACTAATAAATACAACTGCTTTGTCAAAAGACAAATCAGTGTCAGGGAGGGGAAATTCTATCTAGCTAATCCTCTAAATTTAATTTCTTCCTGGATATAAATGAATAAATCACAGAAGTTTTCTCAAGGGTTGAAAGTTATTTAGACTGTATGGTGGAAAAATCAGTAGATGCCATTGTTCCTGTAATTTTTAGTAAGATGAAGCATAGACTATTCCTTGAATTCAGTCATGGAATGATTTGATGAAAGTAGTGGTTTGCTGAAGGCAGCTCACACAGGCCAGTTGTTAAATTTCCAGGAATTTTGTGAACCAGTTGACATAAATTTTGCAAGCCAGTTGACTGCTTGTTGAATCGGCAATTGTAGGAGTATTTACATTATGGAAACCGGCAAATACTACAAATTACAAATCAGTCTTGTCCCTCACCCTCAGCCAAAACCAGTTGTTAGGAATTTACCAGGATATTACTGGATAGGAGATTGGTTTAGAAATATAGAACAAAGAACAGGGCCAATAGGAAAATGCTTAAGAATTTTAAATAGATGGCTTCTTCAGAGTTAGATGTTGGCACTAATCTTGTTTAGCATTTTTGTAAATTTCCTGGAAAGAGGTATTATACAGAGAAATGTCCATATTTTTCAGCTGACATTAAATGTTTCCACAGTTAAACTACAAACCCCAGGGATTAACACCCAGAACTCTTACTAACTGAGAATTGGCTAAATAATAACAGATGGACTCTAAGAAGGCAATTTATCTCAATTTACCCTTGTTAGATAATAAATTCTAACCTTTATGTTTTGACCTAGGAATGAAATTTAGGAATTTCTGTAGGTTTTTTCTCTGTTAGAGTAATTTGTTAGCTGTGATAAAAGGGGCTCTTCAAGGCCAAGCTTCATCAGAAGCTCTGGAAACAAAAATGTAGGCTACCTTACAAAGAAATCTTAGTGTACTCTTCCTGCAGTTTTGGTTGACATGCTTCAAGGATAATGTAATGGAATTGGAAAAGTTTCAGAGAAAAGTGTGTAATCTGATCAGGGATTGCAAGGATCCCAGATGAAGCTAAGATTATATTAACCAGCAAATCATGAAAGGTTTTGAATAAGGTAAGTATCGATGGATTAAGCAAATCCTGAAAGCCTAGAACTATAGAGTACCCTTTTGATGTTGGAAATAAGAATTTGTGGAAAAAATAAAAAGCAACATGTTCCTCAAGGGAAAGAAATAATGATAGCAAAAATAACATATTTCAAATTTTAACTTTGGTCAATTAAAAAAATCATTATGTTCACATATTTTAATGCACAAAATTTACTGTATATTTCCTCTAACCAATGACCTTGCCTAATGATTAGTTCTTTCAATGGATGTAAAAATGAGAAGTGCCTTCCTCTCAATTCAGGCTGATATGTTTCTTCTTGTTGTTTTCTTTAGGGCAACTTAAAGCAAAGAAATGGAAGAGCTGTTATAATTGTTTATTCTCTCCACTAAATGCCCCAGGATGGATGTGATCCTAAAACCTTTGCACCTCATAAAGAAATTTAGTTAGGATTAATTTAATTGTGCTAATTACAAGTCACATCTTGGTTAATCCTCAATTTTATGTTTAAAAGTCAGGGTTTCTTAAGAGTGAATTAGGTAAATTCACTTTTCTAGGAAATTGATCATACTTCTCTAGGAAAAAAAAAAACAACCTTCCCCACAATAGAGGATGGGCCATTTTGGGTGTGAAAAAATAGGGTGACTTAGTGAACTCAGTTGAACCAGACAATCAATGTCTGTTCCAAAAATAAAGCAAGCCTCTGCATGATCTTAATAAAAACTTGAGAAAAAACGATTTTCATGTTTACAAATGAAATAACTCAGATTATACTTTTATAAGTTATATTCTATAGTTTTTAGTGGTTTAGAGTTGAATGTCTAGGATAAGGTAAATTACTCATCTTATTAATCATTCGTAAATACCAGAAGTATTTATTTGTACAGTTCATCTGTGGACAAGGAGAGAGAATCCAACACTCCCCACCCCAAGTGGAAATCCAAGTATAATTTATGGTTGTCATATCCAAAGATTTGGAATCTGCCAGTTCAATCAGGTGAGGTTCCCAGTTGGATGAACAGGTGAATGGGTAAGCCATGGATAGAGATAGAGCCATGGTGAGTGGCCCTGGGTGGTTTTGACCGTGTTGCTCAAGGGTAGACTGTATTCAATGTTTTAGGAAGATGCAATAATAGGACATTACAGCTGGATTTTATTCAACTTTTAGGGAATGTTATTTTCTAAAATAAATTACAGTTTTTTTCAGCGTTTGTGTGTTTTAGGCACCTTCTCCACCCCCCCACCCCCCATGGCCTATGGTCTGTGCTCATCCTGATTCTTCTGCAATGCAGGAGAGTTGAGTTAGGTGAGCAACAGCAAAGTGTGCTTTGCTGTTCTCTCACATACACCATCACTCAAATTTATTGTCCAACCTGAGGGCAGGCATCCACGTTGTTTTTCAAAACTGTATTTGTTAAAAGGAAGGTTCCCTCAAGAGTAAAAATGCACATGCAACACTCATCTCGTAGTGCTGCAACACTGCAGACACGGTGTGAGGAAGGAACTAACTTGAAAGAAACACGTTTTCATAAATTAAGGAGCGTGACTAAGTACTTTAATTCCTTTTCTTCCAGTCCCCGAAAGGATCATTTGACATTGAACCTTTTAAGTTAAACAGGAGCCTCCCGAACTCCACGACTCTGGGGGTGTGGGTAGCGCGCGGGGGCTGCTGCACCAGCCCAGGCCTCTTTTCTCCCCATTTTTTCACACTCCCCCCCGACTTTCCTCTCCTTCCCTCCCTATCGCCTCTCCCCCTCCTGCTTCCCCCGTGACCCCTGACCCCAGCTAATCTGCATAGAGGAATGACAGGCATCCGCTGGGCCGGATCCGCCTCGCCGGCCCCGGCCGGCCGGGTGGGGAGACCCGCGCGGGGAGTAGGTGAGGGGACCCGGCGGGCGCCTGGGGAGAGGCCGGGAAATGAGCGCTTGGAAATCTGTCTGCGAGCGGACCCATGATCGAAGGACCAGGAGAGCCGCGTGATCGCCAGACCTGGCCCTGCGACCCTAGACATGGGCCAGACCTCGGTCTCCACGCTGTCCCCGCAGCCCAGCAGCGGTGAGTTCGGGGCGCGCCGATGCGCCCCCGCTGCCAGGGCGCGCGGCGCGCTCGGCCCGGGCCGCTGGGACCGTCCAGGGCTTCCCCACGAGCCCCGCTCTGCCCGAGCCCGCCAAGTCCCTCCGAGAAACCCGAGAGGCAGCGCTCCCCCAAACTCTTTGTCGTGGAAAGTGGAATGTCTTTTGGGATCCTGCCGATTTTTTACCTTAAAGGCACAGGCTCCATTTTCTGCGCGAGATGCCTGGCTTTGGTGTTTATCTGAATTACTTTGGAAATTTACGAGAAGCGCCATTTGCGTATTGCTTCGTGTGTTTTTCAAACACGAAACTTAGAGAGCACGATCAGCGTGCCAAAGGCTTTTTCTGTATTTACCCTGGCTTTCGAACAGACTAGAATGGAATTCTTTCAAGCTTGTCAACTGATTTATGGTTTGTTTTTCGGGTAAAAGAAATGCCGAATGGCTTCTTTTACTCTGGCTGAATGCTGAATAACTAACTTTTTAAAACGCGTAATTGTTTCAGGCCATCATTGTTTTGTGTAAGTTACGCACATAAGTTATACATTTTGGGGAAGCATTTCATGAACTCAGTTATTGAGGGGCAAAAGTTAGTTTTCTGAAGCATGTGGAACGTTTCTGAGTTAGAATGCCCTGTTTTGAAAGTTTCTTTTTCCATTTTCTTAAACAAAAAAAAAAAGGAAAAAAAAGAGAGGGGGGAGGTAGGTAGGTTTGGCATTTCTCCATTAGCATAGGGATAAACAACTCTTTGATGGCGTTCCTTGTGATTGGATAAAGAAAAAAAATTTTAAAGGTACTATTTTGATATTTTGTTTCCATCAACAATTTAAAAAAAAAAAAACCTCAAAGGGCCATTTACGTTATTCCTTGAGATATTTGATACAATTTCGAAATTGTATAAACATCAACAGGATCTTGCTGAAAGGAAATGACAGGGCACAGATGAAGGTTTTTGAATCAGCTCCAGGATGTCTCTAACTAGATAGCTTCCTATCATTCCAGCCTCCCCCCATATGGGTTTGTTTATATTTCAGAATTTCACTCCCTGAAGTATCAGAAGCTTTGCTGGGCTTATGTTAATGCCAGAGGAGGACAAACTCAGCAAAAGAGAAAAATCAGAATCCAAAAAGATCACACCTTCCCTTACTGTTAATGACACCAGAGCTTAAGGTTGATAAACTTCTGGGGGTTTCTGGAGGGTCTGATTTTGACTTTAAATTTAGTGAACTATTTTGTGTGCAAATAAGGTTTAGTTTCCTTTGTCTTACTTTAAAGTTTTGTGACTTCTTTCCTATCATTTCAAGGAAGAGTTAGATTTTTAAATTTTGCACTGGCAAAGCATAGGATTAAATCCATTCTCTAATACAGATGTACAGCAAATACTGCCCTGAATTTAGTTCTAATGCCACAAAATATTTTTAGGGTCTGTATTAGAAAAGTGTGTCTTATTCTGTACAAAAACCAAGGAATATTACACAAATCAAGACTAAAACAGTAGAATCCTAAAATGTAACTGTCCTAGTTTTTACCTAGTACAGGAAAAACCCAGATTGCTATAATTCCTTTTAAAAATGACTACTCCACTTGAGAGATTGTGCAGTTTAATGGTAAAAAATAATTAGAATAAAAAGCTTTGCTTGACCATAAAAGATATTTCAGAGAAAAATCTCATGAAACGGTATTTAATTGCAGGTCCTCAATAGTTGCTTAAAAGTTTGCATATGTGAAAGTGACCAACCCAGACATCTTGAATAGAGAATTTTGGTGTTTTTTTTTTTTAATTCCATAAAGGATGATAGTGATTAAAGTCTTGGTATTTTATGAGTGAAGCAAATTTCTCATGATATCCATTTAGGTTCTCTATATCTATTATGATTACTCTACTTCTCTGAAAGTTTGCCATCATATCAAATAAAAACAAAAGCAGGACATTTGGTTGTCATATCTAAATTTTATATTCATCTTGGTGTTCATCACTGAGTTGGAGACTGTCAAACCCTCTACTCTGGTGAGTGTCTTGTTTACTCTATGTAGCTGTTGAAGGCTGCCTTTACAAATGTTGTGAAGATCCTTGTTCTGTTAAATCTTACCCAGCTCTAGTTGTTTGAAGTCTAGAGTATCTGCTAAAAGATTACATCCTCAACCTAAATGCTTAGTGGAGAAAATTTTTAGATTATCATTATAGGCCACAAATGAGCTTGCTTCTCTCTCTTTGACTTAAGGTTCTTTTCAGTCTTTGAATTTAGGACTAAGTCTATGCATTTGGGTTCTAGGAAGACCATTAATGATATTTCTAGGGGGAAAAATGGTCTTAGACCTATTATTTCTATTTTTAAAAACAGGTATATTGACATATAATTCATATGTTATAAAATTCATTCATTCAAAATGTGCAATTCATTGACTTTCAGTACATTCAAAGTTGTGCAACCATTACTCCCTATTCTTACCCCTCTCAACCTCCACCCCCAGCTCTAAAACCACTAATCTTCTCTCCGTTAGATTTATTTATCCTGAGCAATTGATGTGAATGGAATCATAAGACATGAATCCATTTATGATTGACATTCACTTTGCATAATATTTTCAAAGGTTGCCCATGTTGTAGCATGTATCAATACTTCATTTCTTTTTATTGAAAAGTAATATTCCATTGCATGGACACACCATTTCATTTATCAATTCATTGGTTGATGGACATGGATTATTTCTGCTTTTTTGCTCTATGAATAGTGCTACTTTGAGCTTCATGTAGAAGTTTTAGGTGAACTCTTGGATATATAATTAGGAGTGGAATTACTGGGTTATATGGTAACTCCATGTTATATTATGTTTTTAAAAACTGCCAAATAGTATTCCAAGGCAGCAATACCATTTTACATTCCCTTCAGCAGTGTGTGAGTGTTCCAGTTTCTCCAAGTCCTGCAACATTTGGCGTTATCTTTTTGATTCAGCCATCCTAGTGAGTGTGAAGTTGTATCTCATTGTGAATTTGATTTGTGCTTCCCCAATTGCTCATGACTTCGAGCATCTTTTCACGTGCTTATTGGCCACCTGTATAACACCTTTGAAGAAATGTCTATTCAGATACTTTGCCCAATTTTAATTGAGTAATTTGATTGTCTGCTATTAAATTCTAAGAATTCTTTAGATACTATATACATGTCCCTTATCAGATACACGATTTACAAGTACTTTCTTCTAGTCTCACTTGTTTGCATCTTTGGTGTCATATCTAAGAAACTATTGTATAATTAGAGTCAAGAAGATTTATGCCTATGTTTTCTTCTAAGAATGTTAAAGTTTTAGCTCTTATATTTAGCTATGATATATGTTAACTTTATGGGTGCTGTGAAGTACAATTCCAACTTCATTCTTTTGCATCAATCCAGTTGCTATCTACCATTTGTTGGAAAATTTTGAATTGTTTTGGTATCCTTGTCAAAAATCAATTGTCCATGTATGTAAGTATTTATTTCTAGACTTCCAGTTCTATTCCATTGATACATATGTTTATGTTGCCAGTATCACGCTGTCTAGATTATGGTAGTTTTGTTGTAAGTTTTGAAACAGCAAAGAGTGACTCTTCCAACTTTGCTCTCCTTTTCCCGCATTCTTTTGGCTTTTTTGCATTTCTATATGCATTTTGCAATCAGTTTGTCAATTTTTGAAGAAAAAAATCCCACCTGGGGTTTTGATGGAGAGTGTGTTGAATTTGTAGATCAATTTGCATAGTACTGCTATTATAACAATATGAAATCTTTCATTACATAAACATGGATGTCTTTCAGTTTTAGATATTTTGAGGTTTTCTAGTTTTTAGTGTATATGCCTTATTTTCCCTTTGTTAAATTTATTTCTAGGAATTTTATTATTTTTGATGTTATTGTAAATGATGTTCTATTACATTTTGTTTTCAGAAAGTCCTTTGGTAGTGTATGGAAATAGAAAAAATTGATTTTTGTATATTGGTATTGTGTCCTGCAACCTTGCTGAGCTAATTTCTTGGTTCTAGTTGTTTTTTAGTGGATTCTTTAAGGTTTTTATTTTTAAGATCACACTGTTCACCAGAATACAGGTAATTTTACTTTTTCCTTTCCAATCTGAATGTCTTACTTATCTTTCTTGTCCAATTGCCTTACTCATTATATAGTACAAAGTCAAAGAGAAGTGGCAAAAGTATACTTTATTATCTTATTCCTGATATAAGGGGAAAAAACCCAGCAGACTTGTTTATGAGTGTCTTTGTCATGAAAGGGTGTTGGGTTTTAACAAAGCTCCCCCTCCCTTCTTTTTTTTGCTTCTTTTCAGATGATCATATGGTTTTGTCCTTTATTCTGTTAATATGGCAATTTCATTAATTGGTTTTCAGGTGTTAAACCAACCTTGCATTCTTGAGATAAATCTATATCCTAGTAGTATATGGTGAATAATCCTTTTTACATGTTACTAGACTTGGTGTTTAGTATTTTATTGAGGACTGGCTCCATTACTTATTTCTAAGGGTGAGTTAAACAGGTATGCCCCAAGTAGGGTAATTTCAGACCCTTTGACCCCTATCTTAGAAACTTTTAGTATTTCATTTGACAAATGTAAGACATAATGGACTGAACACAAAAAATATTTGTTGAAGACATGAATGATTCAATAAATATGCCTAATGAACAGCCCAACCACTTAAAGTGAATAGATTATATGAGTAAGGGATATGTATTCTTTTGAATCTTTTTTACTTCCGTAATTGCATGTTACTCTGGCTTTGTTGTCTGAAGTGTGGCATCTGAACTAGTAAATATTTGTTCTAGTCTTCAGTCCCATTTCATCCCCATTCTGCCACAGATCAACTCTTGACTCCTTCCCCTCAGCCCTTGCATTGAAAGAGCAGACAAAGTCACTCTCCTCATATTTAGGAGACAAAGAAACAAATGAGTAAAGTATATAGGACCACACCTAGCTGATGACAGAGCATATTTTATCTATTTTT